ACCGACATAACTTAACACTGTTTAAGCCAAACGACCGCAAGTCCATCACCGGTCGCAATGTAGGGCTGGTATTGTTCACTGGTGTGGACAGTGGTCTCGTGCACATCCATAACCCTAATGGTGTCGACGTCAACGCCCTGGTAGTCACTGACCAACACGTGGCTTACGGTATGAAAAATATTTATTATTTATATAAAAATTTAAAATATAACTATTTATAATATTTATTTAAATAAACCAAACTTTAGTTAGTTTACATTTTAACTGTACTTGTTAAACTACATTTAGAGTAAGTAGTTTATAAAACATATTCATAATAGTTTATTAATGAAAACAAAATATATATAACTAAAAACTGTAATATTAAAAAAGTAAAAATATTTTTAATAAAATTATTATGTATTTAAATTAATTGGGAACACGAACTTCTATTTATGTGTTCATAAATTTTATAATTTATTTTTCAAAATATTTAGATCCCATACCCGGGGGCTGTTCACTGGAGTTTCCGTTAAAAGTATCACCATTTCTACGGCTATACGAAAACCAGTATTTCAATCGATTGGAGTATCAATACGCGAGTATCGGTACAACTGTTTGCTTTATTATATTAACATTTATAATTAATTACCTTGTTTACATTTTAATGACCAGGCTCAGCTAAAGATTTAAAGCATGTCAGCTGCGAGAAAAGTCAATCAGACATAGAGTACAATATTTACGGCTATTTTCTACGTGAGGGAGACTATACGGAAAAGGAGTACTTCCGGGCCATTACTTTGATGAGTAACGTATCGGATATTAGCAACCAGAGTAGCAAGGTAAATAAATATAAAGTCTAAAATATTATTTGTTTTGATGCTGGTTCTAGACCATTTTATGTATGTATGTTATCTTGATTAATATTATTTAATATTTTATATAGAGTTTACAGTTTTAATGAAAATCTTATTTTAAAATTGTAATAAATTAATGTGAAGTTTTCAAAAGACCAAGTTTATTACATAAATATTAATGTTAAATTATTGCTAATTAAAATTAATTTTATATTACAGTTGATGAACACAACGGCATTACGAAAATATTTATACGCCTATACGGGTCGGCCCGTAGTCTACAACATAATCGCAACTTCACACCAATTTAGCTCAGCATACGTGCCCATTGTTACGTACGATTGTGGCAATGATAGCATTGAACACTGCGGTAAACATGGTAATTTTGAAAATTATATTTTATTTATTGCTTTAATAATTAGTATTTTTGTGTTAATAGATATGACGACAATATTTTTGACATCAATGATGGGTTTAATGGGTTTATTCGTATGCTTTAGAGGGCACCTGTGGTTTCAATTGCGTACGTATAGCCCACTAAAATTTATTGAATTGAAATTAATATCTTTAAATTATGTTTTAAGTTTCCAAATCAAATTCATTACGAAAAAAGTTAAAGCATATAGTATAAACTAGTTAAAATAATTAATAACTCGGTGTTTTACACCCCACTTTAATCTGTCTTTAAGCAAGTTACTTATTTATTAAAAAATGGATAATTAAGTTACAGTTTTAATTTTAAATAACTATTCAGAATTTAATTATAGTAACTTATTATTTTTAAAAATTAAATATACTTATAAATTAATTAAATAAGCAAGTTATTTATCAAGTCTTATTTTGAATAATATAATCTCCTGGATTAAAAACATTCACTAACTATAGACATAAATATTAAACAAATTACTAATAATTTATATTTCGTAACAGAAATGCTATTCTTTGGACTCATCGACGGCTCATTCATCGCATACTTACTGCTCATTAAATACACTGAACTCAACCAGTCATCCATCAGGATATATACCAGTGCCACGGGTACTATACTGGCACTGGTATGGCTGGCCGTGTGGAAAATACTACGCCAACCCCTACTATCCCTAT